CCCCCCTGGCTACGGGCCTGAGCAGCGTACCAAAACCAGGTTACTGCGACCTTTATTTGACCTTTACCTTATCCTTGATCATATTTCCCTTCCGCTCTATAACTCGGCCCCTAATTGACCTAGCGCTACCAAACTTGGTATACTTACACATCTTAGGGAGAAGGTGTGTCGCGTACCAAAACAAGGTCACTGCAGCTTTTGTTTGACCTTGACCTTGACCTTGATCTTGATCATATTTCCTTTCCGCTCTATAACTCGGCCCCTAATTGACCTAGCGCGACCAAACTTGGTATACTTACACATCTTGGTGAGAAGGTGTGTCGTGTACCGAAACCAGGTCACTACAATCTTTATTTGACATTAACCTTGACCTTGACCTTCATCATATTTCCCTTCCGCTCTATAACTCGTTCCCTAATTTACCTAGCGCGACCAAACTTCGTATACTTACACATCTTGGGGAGAACACGGGGGATACATGTAGTTGGCGACAACTGCCCTTTCTAGTTTAATATAGATTGGAGTATCGTGCACTCATATAATTTCACTCTAGCTTCTACTGTGAAATTGCCTAATTGGTTTGGTTTAGTCATTGTTAGGATTTCCCCCATCATATACCTGCCTCTGTCTGTTCTCTCCATGTCTTTATGCTGAATAATACAGATTTATTTAATCACGCAATGTATTCTTCATGTTTCTCTACTCTCTTTTGCATATTATTATTAGTAATTGCATGTAATTGCCATTCAAATGCTGCTCTGCAGCACACAAGTTTGTCGCACGCACGCCATTGTGAACAAACAAGAAAAATATCGAGTTGTGTTTGTTTTTTTGTGTTTTTTGTTGTTCTCTATACTTTTGTTGTGTGTGCACAATGGCATGCGTGAGGTAAACTTGTGTGTTGCAAAGGAGCATTTGACAGGTATTTACAGGAAATTATTACGAATAATAGTGAAAAGACTGTAGAGAAACATTAAGACTTTGGTAGTAAATATTTACCATCATTGTATTAATGAAATTTCCAATTGCCTGTGGGCCAATGGCTTTTCAGATATTACTTTGGTGTCTTTAGTCCCTTAGCCCCTTATAGTCTTTCAGTCATTGTTACAAACTCTCATACGGATACTAGAAGTGATCGAACAGTTGAAGGCTTATTTGAACTATTACCCCCTGCACTTTGTTCTCTTCACGATTGACTACACAGCTGTTAACTAAACCTATTTATTTTGAATTAGGTTTTATGCAAAAAGAGCTGGAAGTGTTAACTATTTGTCTATTGCCGTGTGTAATATTCTGCTGCAATAGCTTTGACTAGGACATTCTAGCTACATGTGAATACCAGTTTCTCACCAATATTTATTTTTATTTTTTAGTGATGACCCTTATGCAGTTGATCCAATCATGGCCCTTCCTGGGCAAGCAAGGTATGGTGTAGAGAAGCTGGAATCTGTGCTGAAGCCACTAGTGGACAATGGACTAAAGGCTGTATTGCTCTTTGGTGTTCCAATGGCACTTCCTAAGGTGTGTCTAGTAGCCGTGTATCAAATCTCCTACTTCATTGTCCTGCAAGTATGGTGGTATAATAGTCAATCAGATTTGCATCTGTTGATTCGTTAATGATGATCGTTGATAAAGAAAACATTAAATGTGACAAGCACATAATATGTGTGTGTGACATTTTCTTGCAGGACCAGCGAGGAAGCTGTGCTGACTCCCCGAACACACCTACTATACTCGCAATCATCAAATTGAGAGAGCTGTTCAGTGACCTTCTCATCGCTTGTGATGTTTGTTTATGTGCTTACACAAACCATGGCCACTGTGGTGAGTGTCGATGGGGAGAAGCAGCAATCCAGCATATATGATTCAAGGAACAAATGTTTAGGCTGCCACTATAATTAAGTAATGTCATCTGGTGTATTATGATGCAGATGCACAGTTTGCTATTTCAGGCATTCTTCATGAGGATGGGACTATTAATAACAGTGCCAGTGTAAATAGACTGGCTGAAGTAGCACTACAATATGCCAAGGCAGGTGAGTTAGACACAGTGGCTAATTGTAAAATATGCGTAGTCAAACAGTGGCTTATGGTATGCATTGTAAATCTCGGTCCAAATTCAAATATGCTGAAATTTTAATTCTTGGTATGGAAAACAATAATCACCATGTATGCTTATGTCTTAATTGTCTCTCTGTGTAGACATCACTCGGACATTCATTTATCAGGTTGTCACGTAGTTGCGCCTTCTGACATGATGGATGGTCGGGTGAAAGCCATCAAGGATGCTCTGAAGGCACACGACCTTGGTCACCGCGTGGCGGTGCTCAGCTATAGCGCCAAATTTGCATCCTCATTTTATGGGCCATTCAGGTTTGTCCATGTGCAGGTATTTTTGTAGTAATGCAGATAGTTTTAGCCGGGCCAAGCTTGCCTTGTAATTTTACTTTTATCTAATTTAAAAAAAGATAAGGATAAAAAGTACATACATTGCATTCAGAGCCATATTGTTATTTTGAGTTTGTATGGTAAGTACCTGCATCTTAAATTTAGATAGATTATTCTATTGATAACAAAATTATGAATCTGTGATTATTCACTCCAATTAAAATGATATCTTATGTGTGTGTTTGCATAATCTGACACCCGATGATTATGTGTATTATTATCGAACCTGGGTGGAGCTACAATGTAGATGTTCAAACCATATTTCTATATTTGAAGGGATGCTGCAAAGTCGGCTCCATCTTTTGGTGATAGGAAGTGTTACCAGTTGCCCCCGGGGTCCAGTGGCCTAGCCATGCGAGCTGTGGTGAGTGATAATCGTGATCGGAAATACCAATCATACCCAGTGTAGCTGTCGACTGCTGTTCTAGATTTTACATACTTTCAGAAAATTTCGAAATTTTTTATTATACATCATTTATTTACTTGAACTGGCTTACGTACCATCTAGGCACTTACGAGGGATAACTAATTATTTACTTGCACCCTGTTTTGGTCGAGAGAGTTTATGTGGGCGGTATGCTTGATTGTAGGCGAGGGATATAGAGGAGGGTGCAGATATGGTGATGGTGAAGCCTGGCATAGCTTACCTGGACATCGTGAGGCAGTGTAAAGACAAGCACCCAGAAATGCCCATCGCAGTCTATCAGGTAGAGAAAGCTATGTGTAGGATTTTCACAACATTGCCAAAAATGGTGTAGTGTCGTCCGTCATGCCTGAATAAAACCAACCATTCCTAATCATGGCTTAGAAGTACGGTCTAGTGAAAACAGACTTTGTAGCGTATTTTGTTTCCCAGCATTTGATAAGAGCATAGATGGCATTTGTCACCTGCTGTTTTGCTTGTTAAGAAAAGAAAACGAGAGTTGTTAACTGTCAATAGGTGTCTGGTGAATATGCAATGTTACATCATGGGAGCAAGGCTGGGGCATTTGACTTGAAGACCATGGTACTGGAGACATTCACGGCCTTTAGGCGAGCTGGTAAGTGAGCCATTACGTATTTGTTAGCAAGGAGGTTCAGTTTTTTCTTCGGCTTGTATTTAGTGAGAACTGTATCTCGGTTATATATCATAATGCCTACAGGAAAACTTCTGATTATCTCCATATATTACCAGCAGATGGCGCTAGCAGTATTCACAGCTCTGGAGAGAAACTGTATTACTCTTTGACCTTCCGTTTCTGCGTCCCTACAACTTCTTTCATTTATTCTGCGGCGTGAAGAAGTTACTGAACGAGACTTGCGAAAGCCCTAGCGTCCTCAGCCCTAACCTGAGATGGTAACTGTGTGTTGCAGGTGCAGATGTGATCATCACCTACTTTGTGCCACAGCTCTTGCAGGAATGGGGCGTCTTGTAATCGAAGCAACGTTGCTCCGTTTACGATTTCACAGCTGACTAGGCGGCTGAACCTTTCCGAACGTCAGCAACATGGCAACATCACTCGTACCACGAGACTCTAAATCCATGCTCATCAACCTTGTGGAATGTTTCACGTAGGCGAGCCAAGCGTGAAAAATCTGAAAAGTTTAATGCATGCATTTATTCGGTTGTTTATGACTCACGTATTCTGACGTGAACTGCCATGTTTTTGGCCACTTAGCGTTTAATGGGCGTTTACGCCTAGTAGATGTGTAAAAATGCGTGCTAACAGGCTAAAAGCATGCACATAAATTTACCGTACGTAATTCGGGGGCATTAATTATACACAAGTGAGAATCGTGACGTGCTTATAATTATGAAAGTAAGCAACGATGCCACTGCTTGCATTATGCGACAGGTGTAAGTTAAATGATGTATGTCGTTAGGGTGGAACCAGGAATCGAGGGGAGATGTTAACCATCTCATTGTCTACACTGGTTTATGATCAATTCAAAGACCTAGTTTAAGGTCAATACCAAGGAAATAAAAACTCAGGTGCTGATGATTTACTACAGCACTGTTTGTTTGTGGTCCGATCTCGTAATAGCAATCTCGCGTGTAACATAATATACTGACCTGTCAAATATTGTTCCAATGAAACTAATTAATTAGTGGAAGGTGGAAAGTATCAGGAATAATGAGGGAAGCAGGTCGTGTACATTGCGAAAGCGTAATGCGTTACGGTGAGCTACTCTTTCAGCTGTTGTGGAAATTGGTTGTCAATAAATCATCACATAATGCAAAATATTGATTTATGATACAACCCCTACATTGCTACATTTTGAAGATTCATGGCACTGTCATGTTAATGAGAGCGTCAGCTAATATATTGTCCATGTTCAATTTTCCTTAATTACATTTCAACAAGCTTACATTTCGTTAATTTATGCCTGTCTATAATTCTCCGCTGATACCTCCTTTTTATATGTTGCTAAGATGCAAATCATTGTGCGGAGCCACTGTAACACTTGTTACTATAATCTCACAACCTATTCACTTACCTAACTTCACACCAATTTGCAACTAAAATTTGCCTTACCTGCTCATTTCACCTAACTAACTCCATTGTCACTTGAGCAACTAATATAATGAGTAAGAAACTGTTGGCATGTTGATTCCGTCGTCATGCGAGGGCTTAGCACTTGACCTGTGAGTTAAGCCACTCGGTCGCCTCGCCCGCTGGTAACATCCCAGTTGGCCTACACCCATTTCGCCTACGTCCCATTTTGCCTACGTCCCATTTCGCCTACTCCCATTTCGTCTACTTTCAGAATCGGCAATATTTCGCCTACTCCCAGTATGCTACTCTATTTTCTATTTTTGTCAAGTTGCGTTCTCATTATTTGTACCTATGTTTTCTTCTGGTTACTGTAGTCTATGTATGCCAATCAAAACCATATTTTATTATTTATAAATGATTGCTTAGTGAACAAACCGATCGTAGACGTAATGGGAGTGGGGTAGATTTTGAGCGTAGACGAATTGGGAGTAGGCGAAATGGGTGTACTGTAGGCGAAATGGAAATTTTGCCGTAGGCGAAATGGGAGTAGGCCAACCGGGAATAAATCGACGGTGAAAGTGTGTGCGCTGGTCCGCATTGCTGGAGGGAGGTGGAGGTGGAGGTCCGCATTGCTGGGGGGAGGTGGAGGTGGCAGCGTCCGCATTGCTGGGGGGAGGGGAGGGGAGTTTCCGCAATTGCGCTGGGGGGAGCGTGGAGGTGTGAGGTCCGCATTGCTGGGGGAGGAGCGTGGAGGTGCGAGGTCCGCATTGCTGGGGGGAGTGCGAGCGTGGAGCGTCCGCATTGCTGGGGAGCGTGGAGCGGTGGAGGTTCCGCATTGCTGGGGGGAGGTGGAGGCTGGAGCCGCTCCGCATTGCTGGGGGAGGTGGACGGTGGGAGGTCCGCATTGCTGGGGGAGGTGGAGGTGCGAGGGTCCGCATTTGCTGGGGGGAGGTGGAGTGGAGCGTCGCATTGCTGGGGGGAGGTGGACGCGTCCGCATTGCTGGGTGGGAGGTGCGACCGGTGGAGGTGGCCGCCTGCTGGGGGGCAGGTGGAGTGAGGTTGGAGGTCCGCATTGCTGGGGGGAGGTGGAGGTGGAGGTCCGCATTGCTGGGGGGAGGTGGAGGTGGAGGTCCGCATTGCTGGGGGAGTGCGAGGTGGAGGGTCCGCACTTGCTGGGGGAGGTGGAGGTCCGCCATTGCTGGGGCGAGGCTTGATGGAGGTGGAGGTCGCATTGCTGGGGGCGAGCGTGGAGGTGCGGAGCCGTCCGCATCTGCTGGGGGGAGGTGGCAGGCTGGAGCGCTCCGCATTGGCTCGGGGCGGAGGTGCGAGGTGCAGAGGTCCGCATTGTGGGGGGAGGTGGAGCGGGTTGGAGGTCCGCATTGCTAGGCGGGAGGTGGAGGTTTGGAGCCGTCCGCATTGGCTGGGCGGCAGGTGGAGCGTCCGCATTGCTGGGGGCAGAGGTGGAGGTCCGCATTGCTGGGGGGAGTGGAGGTGGAGTCCGCATTGCTGGGGGGAGGTGGAGGTGGAGGTCCGCATTGCTTTAGGGGGAGGTGGAGGTGGAGTGTCCGCCATTGCTGCGGTCGGAGGTGGAGCCGTCGCCCATTGCTGGCGGGGAGTGCGAGGTCCGATTGCTAGGCGCGCGAGAGTGGAGGTCCGCATTGCTGTCGGGGATGTGGAGGTGGGGTCCGCATTGCTAGGGGAGGTGGAGTTGGAGGTCGCCATTGCTGGGGGCCGAGGTGGAGGTGGAGGTCCGCATTTGCTGGGGGTGAGGTGGAGGTCCGCATTGCTGGGGGGACGGTGGCAGCGTGGAGGTCCGCATTGCTGGGCGGGAGGTGGAGGTCCGCATTGCTGGGGGGAGGCTGGAACGGTGAGGTCCGCCATTGCTAGGGGAGAGGGAGTGGGGCCGTCCGCCATATAGCTGGGGGGAGTGGGGTGGAGGTTCCGCATTTGCTGGGGGAGGTGAAGGTAGGAGGTCCGCATTGCTGGGGGAGGTGGAGGTGGACAGAGTCCGCATGCTAGGCTGGGAGGTGGAGGTCCGCATTGCTGGGGGGAGGTGGAGGTGGAGGTCCGCCATTGCTACGGGCGGAGGTGGAGCGTGGAGGTCCGCCATTGCTGGGGGAGCGTGGAGGTGGAGGTTCCGCATTGCCTTGGGGGGGAGGCTGCGGAGCGTCCGCATTGCTGGGGGAGAGCGTGTGAGCGTGGAGGTCCGCAATTGCTCAGGGGGCAGGTGGAGGTGGAGGTCCGCTTGCCTGGGGGGAGGTGGATGGTGGAGGTCCGCATTGCTGGGGGGGAGGTTGGCAAGAGTTGAGGTCGCATTGCTGTCGGGGAGGTGGCAGGTGAGGTCCGCATTTGCTGCGGGGGAAGGTGGAGCGTCTCCATTTGCTGGGGGGACCCAGGTGGGAGTGGGAGTCCGCCATTGCTGGGGGGAGGTGGAGGTGGAGGTCCGCATTGCTGGGGGGAGGTGGAGGTGGAGGTCCGCCCCCATTCGCCTGGGGGGAGTGGAGGTGGTAGCCGTTCGCATTGTCGCTGGGGGGAGCGGTGCGAGGTGGAGGTCCGCATTGCTGCGGGGGAGGTGGGAGGTCGGAGTACCGCATTGCTGCGACGGGAGGTGAGCGTGGGTCAGGTCGCATTGCCTAGGCGGGAGTTGGAGGTCGCATTGCTTAGGGGGAGTGGAGGGGGAGCGTCGCATTGCTGGCGGGGAGCGTGGAGGTCCGCATTGCTGGCGGGGAGGTGGCAGGTGGAGGTCCGCCATTGCTGGGGGGGAGGTGGAGCGTGGAGGGTCCGCATTGCTGGGGGCGGAGGTGGAGGTGGAGCGTCCGCCCATTGCTGTGGGGAGGTGGGAGGTCCGCATTGCTGGGGGAGTGGAGGTCCAGCCATTGCTGGGGGGAGCGTGGAGCGTGGATGGTCCGCGCATTGCCTAGCGGGAGTGGGAGGTGGAAGGTCCGCATTGCTAAGGGGGAGGTGGAGGTGGAGGTCGCATTGGCTGGGGCGGAGGTGGAGGTCCGCATTGCTGGGGGGAGGTGGAGTCCGCATTTGCTGGCGGGGGAGGTGAGGTGGAGGTTCCGCATTGCTGGGGGAGGTGGAGAGTTCCGCATTGCTGGGGGTGAGCGTGGAGTTGGTAGTGTCGCATTGCGGATTGTGGGGGGGACGAGGTGGAGGTGGAGGGGAGGCTTGCCTTCCCGCGCCTCGTTGCGTTTGACATAATATTGCTATTATTAATTAAACATGAACTAGAGCACTCAGACATCAATACCAATTGATTCGGAGGAGCTTTTTAGAACTAGCCGCTGGGATTCGAAAATACATTTCGAACGTTTTTTTTTATTTGCATTTTGTTTCTTTGCATGAAATAATGAGCGAGCACGGCTGCCCTAATCTGCCGCAGTCCGACTAAACGCCGAGTGACTTCTACACAAAGTGAACATAATGAACAATCCTTGTCGCGCAGTAATTAAGCCCGGCGCACACGTGAGTATTTTACTCCAGTAAAATGACGCATGAGTCAAAATACTCACGCGTAATATTTTCAGCGTTCGCCGGCCCACGTGAGTAAAATTACTCCAGGAATAAGTGGTAATGCAGATACGTGACTGTGCGCAGCCAATACTGGGCGCACAATGATTTAAACGCATGCGCTGTGAGTACCAGTGTTGACTAAATTTACTCAGCGCGCGCGCACACGTTGAGTAAAATGACTCATGAAGTCAAAAATTATCAAACACGTTTGATATTGAGTAAAATAACGCATGCGTCAAATTACTCAACGAAAATCCGCCGCACACGTGAGTAAAATGACTCACGTGTGCGCCGGGCTTAAGATCTTAAATTTAGGTAACCCATAATATCTATATTGATTTCTCTCTCCCGGGCTCTCTCTATATTTACTCCTGAATATATATATATATATATATATATATATATATATATATATATATATATATATATATATTAATTAGGTGTGTGTGTGTGTGTGTGTGTGAGAGTGCGTGATTGCGCGTCTGTGTGTGTGCGTGGGAACGGTAAAGATACGCATACACGCATACATACGCGCGCGCACGCACGCCCCCATATATTAATATATATATATATATTATATATATCCATAGGCCTTTCTGTAGAGCTCAATGCAATGGTGATTAGAAGAAGTAACTGGGCCATATTAGGCTAAATATAACTTAATGGCAGCTGCATATGTGCGCCGGACGTAAGTTACGTACGAAACAGGCAGGTGACCGGGGCTTTACGCCCGCGAGAGAGCCGTCTTCACACGAATCCAATCGGTTTTACCAGTCCGAAGGCCTACAGTCGCGACCGAACCACATCACGGCCAGCTGCACGCAGGAGAGTACGAGTAGTTAGATAGCAGGCTAACCCTCTCTTTGCTCGCATGTGACTTCGGTGCAACGAATAAGCATGCACTCGTCGTGCTGTGTGCGTGGTGCGTGCGGTGCGTGCGTGCCGTCGCGTGCGATCGGGCGGGTTAACACAGCGCGCGTCCGTGCTGCCTCCCGCGAGGCGTCTGATATCTGCTGCTGATAGCTGCACGCGCATATGCAATTACGATCACGAGCGTGTCAGCGACGGAGACGCGAGCCGTTTCCCTCTGGTCCGTGCGTCGCCGACGCACCCCGTCCGTTGTCACGCCACGGCCGACGTCGCCCCATCGCGTGCCGCACTCACGTGATCAGGGCAATTTCGTCGGCAGCACAGTCAATCGCTGTTGATCCGAGTCCGTGATCTCTCCTCGTGTGTGTGCGCGCGGTGCGCCGCCGGATGCCTGGCTGAGAGTCACGCGCGCGCGCCGCATCTCGTGGGGCTTCCGCTAATGATATAGCAGGGGTTAATCTACGAAAGCG